ACCTAAGGTGGCGGGTTTGAATCCAGCCTGGGCCCACCAAACAACAATGATGGCTGAAACCAAAAAATAGCTGGGCGTTGTGGTGGGCGCCTGTGGTCCCAGCTACTTGGGAGGCTGAAGCAGGAGACTTGCTTGAGCCCAGAAGTTGGAGGTGGCTGTGAGCTGTGATGCCACAGCACTCTACCCAGGGGGACAGCTTGAGGTTCTGTCTCAAAAAAAAAAAAGACCTCTTCTTATCATTGAAATACAGAGAATGCTTCAGACTACTAAAGAGTCTTGGCTACTGGGAGCTCATGGGATGTGTGGCATCATAGTTTTTTAATTGGTCATAAAAAGACAGCTGTCTACTTCAAAGTAGAAAAACCAGCTATTGTGTTTTTTTGTAGGAAGTTTCCTCTTCTTCCATCACTGGAACTGCACGGAGCTGAGTGACATGAACTGACTTATCTGCTGGGGCCACTGAGCACACCTAAGGCAGGACTAATACCTGTAATCTGAGCCATCACCTGATCCAGTTCACAGCTTGTGGTGATATGGGGCCTGGGGTGGGAGCGGGGGGCTACCCATGCACTGCTGGGATAAATGATCACTTGCTCCCATTAGGGGATTTCTTGTCCCATATTCCTCTCAGAAGGGAGATGATAAAGAAGGAACCCTTGCTATAGTTAAAGAGGAAAAGCCAGAGGTAATACTGTGCCTATGTGCATTTGGGGATAACTGTTAAATTCTGCGCCAGACCATGACTCAAAGCCCTTATCCAGTCTTCTGGAAGAAATAACCCCTAGACCTGCCTTTTGAAATTTGTATTATGGAAACTTCCACAAAAGTGGAGAAACGGGTTTTATGATTTCCCATGTATCCAACTTCAGCTTCAACAATTACCAACATTTTGTTGGTCTTATCTACCCACCCTCTTTTTGTTCCTCAAATGTTTTAAAGAAAATTTCAGATACCATGTGATTTCACTCCAAACTTCTTGGCACCCTGCTCATCTTATCACTGCAAAAGAATATATACCCAGGGTGGCGCCTGTGGCTCAGTGGGTGGGGCGCTGGTCCCATATACCAAGGGTGGCGAGTTCAAACCCAGCCCCGGCCAAACTGCAACAACAACAGCATGAGAGAATAAACACCCAGCATTCACTCCTGGAAGATCAGCAAGGTTATTTTAATACAGATGTGATACAGAATGTTTAATTACAGCAGGGCAGTGATCCCAGTTAAATAAAATTAAAAACTTTTATTTTCCCAAATATAAAATTACTAAATTAATATCTTCAAAGAAAATATAACATGGTGAAAGCTTTAAATTATACCACCATTCACCACAGGATTTATAATTCACCAATGACATACTCCACCATTTTGGCAAAATGACGAAATTTTTAAAACTGTTTATAAACCTAATATAGCAAAGACTGTATACATCTCCATACTGCACTTCTTTTATGTACAAGAATAAAACAGTGAAGTGTACTGAATATACTAAGAACACAAATTTGTCACAATTAAACTTAATGCAGAAGCTGATGTATTAAAAAATGTAGAAATGTAATAATACAGGTATGTACAGAACACTGAGACTGTATTAACAAACTATATGTACATAACAATATACCATACTACTTTTAACTTTTAGCATAGTTGTGTTTATTAATACAGGCCTTTGGTGCTAAATTGCTTGACTAGTTTTAAGCTCACATAGTTTCTTAAGCTTTCATATTTTTTAAATGCAAGGAAGTGAGTATAAAAGCACTAAATCTCCTGGTTCACTGGTACAAAAATTACAATGGTCAGTTTCCCTTAGGTCATCAAAAACTAGTCACAAAAATAGTTTTTGTATTCAACCTGAATATGCCACAGGGGGAAAAAATATTTTTAAGATTTTCCAGCTCAGCCTAGAGGCAAAATGTGGCCCCTCAGGCCTCAGCTTCAGTGCTGCTATCTCTACCATGTACATTCTGAAACACTTTTTTTTCAGGCCGCTTATTTTACTACTACTCTGTAAGAAAGAATAAAATTTAATTCCAGCTTAAAAGTGTCTACCACACACCTCTGTTAAGACACGATGAAAACTTAGAATATTGCCGGTGAGATTTAAAAAAATATGTGCATCCTCTTACATCGCCTGTAAAAAATCTGCTAAGAAACAACAGTCCTCTCTCTCCTTTCTCTCTCATTCCTTCTGGCTTCTCCCTGTGCTTGATCTCCCCAGTGATTAGCTTTGGAAATCATCCTGAGTTTGCAAACTAGAAAGCAAGTCCCCTACGTGGTCCATGAAGCATGGTCACACCACCGAGGACGAGCTGGTCATTCCATGAACCATTGTGCTTGTTGGGGTCCCGCTGATGGCATTGAAGATGTGAAGGGAGTTCGGTAAAACGCTTGCCTTCTCCTCCAGTGGACAGATCTTGAGGCACAGAAACACAGTGTTATCAAAGTGGAAGGCCCCAGGCAGACATTTCTCAAAGACCTCGTGTTTTGCTTCATGCACAAGTTGTCCCTCAACAGTCACTCCATTACTGTAATGGTGGGCCCATTTAGCTTGGCTTTGGGGGTATCCAGGGGGAGACTTTAAGCTTATCTAGTAAATGACTGTTTTCAGATGAGGATTATAAGGAGAAAGTCAAGAACAGCACCTTTTGTTTCCTTTATGAATTAGTGAATGGAGAGCCTTCTAGACTCACAACATCAGAAGGCAACTTGAGGTCTATCTTACATGTACGTGCTTGGCACAAAACCTAGCCTTTTCCCTTGAGAAAGCCTTTTAAAATGAATTTGGAGCATTTGTGTTTCTCTCCTGGCTCCTTTTCTCCGGGTCTTACAGATTTAATCTTGGGAAAGACAGGCCAGTTACCCTCCGGCCTCAACATGCACGGTCCCATCCCAGTCGTGCCTGGGAGGAATCTGGGGATTAAAAGTCTTGACCACTAGCCAGGTAGAGATTCAGAAGGACATAGACACAGGGTCCCCTGGAAGCACCAAAAGCAAGGCTATCCCTGTCACTACCCGTTTTGCTTCCAGGTTCAGAGAGGCTCAATCTTCACAGCTGTTGACACCATGGAAGTTCAAGGTATAGCCGAGAGCAAAGTACGTATCAAATGTCTGTGCCACCAGGAGTTCAACATTTCAGCCCATCATCTCTTCCTACTTTCATCTTTTCTAGCACTGAGTGCTGGCACCTACTGATTAAATTTTGTTCTAAAGGAATCTGGAGGATCCACAGAAAATATCTCAAATTTTCTCCAAAAATGTGTTCCTATGAGACCTTCTCTATCTGCTTAGTTATTCACACATTCATTTCTCTGATCATTTCAAGTTTTTCTACTTTCTAAAATGCCCTTGAGAGAGCTGTTTTCCTCTGCACTGTCATCATGCCAATGCTACAAATGCTCAAACTCAGTAATAACTTTATGCGAGTTAGTTTATCAGAAAAACAAAATTAAAAATTACATTACCATCCCATCTAAATGTGTTAGCATGGAGGAGAAAGAAAAGCAAGTACGTTAGAGCTCACATTGAAGTTCGTTTCCTGCAAGAGAAATTTCCTAACTACATCATCATGACAGGACATCTAACACCAACAGTGCTGGTCTCCACTTTGCAAGACAAAAAGGCAGTAATGTAGGAGCAAACAAAGCCAGTTCTGAGTTATGAAGGTGCTAACATTAACCATAAAGACAGGACAGTGACTCAGATGATGTGCCTGTGGTTGGTGGAGAAGGGACTCCTCACAATACAATAATGGTCACCCTGGTCACCCATCTTGGCTGATGACTACCGAGCCTATACACAGAACCCTAGCGAAGTTCACACAGGAAGGAGGTAAGAGCAGAGGAATCGGGAAGGTGCCAATTGATGACAAGAAACACAGACGCAGCCACAAAGAATCACCGGGGCACCCAGGTCAGCTATACGCAGCTAAACATGGATGGGAGCTATAGTTTCAAATGGCCAAAGGCCTTTGATGCAACAGATAATTCCTTAAGCCGGGGTGGGGGGGGGGGGAGCCCTATTCCTCCAAAGGGTTAAGTCAACAGAGAATGCTGCAGGGACAGTAGGTGTTTCTGTGTGCGTGAGGAATCTGGGGAGCTCGATCAGGGTGGGAAGAGACAAGAGCAACAATGAGGTAGGTGCTGCTCCTCGGTTGTTTTAGATAAGGACACACAGGCGATCTGTCAGCTGTTCCCAGAGTAACCCAAGGCTAGAGGGAAGCAGGAATGTGGCAGGCTACTTTTTTCTCAGATATTAAAATTCTGGAAGGATAGCAGAAGGCTTAGGTCATCACAGGGTGTTACTTGAGACCCCCACTTATCTTCTCTCCCTAAACAAGAACCTCAAGGTATCAGGGCCAGGTGGCACTTACCTGCTCATGCATGATTTCAGAAAGCTCTTTTGCCATTTCCCTGTAGTTGGCTTTCATTTCTTCCTGATACTCTAACTGGTCTTCTTTAATCAGACGTTCATTTACTGCTAAGGCCTGACCACATGTTTCCACAAATTGCCTGAAGTGGTATGGGAGAGGGAAATAAAGGCACACAGAGGACAAAGAATGAGTCTAACTGGTAGCATCTCTTTCCTGAATGATCACAGAAATCATCAGTATGTGAGGGGAGAAAGGCATTTTCAGCGTGCTTTACCTGAAAACTTCCTTAAGCAATTTCACTTTATTGTCGGGGTATCTTTTTGTGTTTGTGTCATCTAAGAAAGCTCGGGCATACGCTAATGGGCCAGCATTGACCTAGAAAAAGAGCAAGGAAGTGAAACTAAGTTAGAAAGAGAATGACCATTGTCATTTCTTTAGCTTCAGGTGCCTGCATGGGAAACAAACAAGTCCAGGAACTTACAACCCACAAGGCAACCATAAAGCACGTACTGTCACACGTCACTGGATTCCATCACCTCCACCACCCTCCCTGCACTTATGATGATAGTTCATTTTATGTAAGAAGAAACTAACTCTTAGAAAACTTAGACGCCTGTTCAAGTTTGGATAGCCAATAAGCAAAATGCCAGAGATCACAGCCCAAGTGTTCCAGCTCCACATCAAGGATTCTTACCCATGGTATTTAGCCCCGGCTATTGCAGACAGGTATATAAAAAAAGTAGATATGCCAGTTTTTAAAAACCAGCATAGAAATGCTACCAGTCAAGAAAAATACTGGCTAATTGGGCTATAATTAATAAAAAATTTCTGTTAATCAAAAGATGTTAAGAGAATGAAACTTAAAGATACTTTTTTAGATACCGTTTTCAGAAAACCTAAAATGATTGTTTTATAAGAAACCTACTGCTCTCTGTATGTCTTTATATTTACAAGAGTCTTGAGGCTTCCATCTAGGTACCTAGACCTTCCCAAATAGCCAAAACAGTCACAGTAGTATAGACAGCTGTCTCCTATCCCTTACCACCAGCTCAGTGAGAATTAGAGCTCAGGGCAGGTCCCCACCCCCTCTAAAATTAGGAAGGACAAGACAAGGCAGTGAGGACCAGCTGTTAAACCTGGATGTGCAGTAGACCTTGCTGGCATGAATGACCTGGAACTCACCAATGTGCCTGGGGCTTACCCAGCCTCTTGGCCTGCCCTGCCTGGCTCACCTGAACGCTCACACTGCCCTGCAGTTTGAGCTGCAGTTTGATCATGTCCACCTCGGCCGAGGAGCATAGCTGCCGGAGTTCTGCCACCTTCTTGCTCATCTCATCAATGGCCACTTCGATGGGGTTCAGGTCGGTGTGGTGCTGGTACATGACGGGGATCCGCTTCTTCACGTAGGGGAAGCAGTGTATTGCTGCAAGGAGAGTGAGACCCAGAATTAGTCCATGCTGGCATGATCTTTACTGCCCTCAAGGTCAGAAATTTTTGTTTCCATTTTACAAATATAAGAAACATAAAGCCAGCCGGCCAAAGTCACATCTAGTACTCTGTGGAGCTAGAATATTATCTTCCTTCATTATCGTGTAACCATTTAGGATGCATCATACAAAGTCAAGAGTTGGTTCCTTGTCACTCCTTTAATATGAAAAGCGTGTATTTCAAGAAATCATTTTATCATTCCTTGCTCAATTTCCTCATCCATAAATGTCCTTGGAAGTTCTAATATCTGAATGTGATAGCAGGTAGAAGATGACTCTGACAACATAAAAAAGACTAAAGAGTTTTGAGATACTACATAACACACTGAGTCCAGAAAATAGTTCTTTAAATATATCCTTAAGAAAATTCATTTTTGCCCATAGAACAACTTTGAACCACCTGCTAGGTTTGTTTGCTTTCTGGTTTTTTGTTTTTTTTTTGAGATGGAGAGAGGGCTGTGGTATCAGCCTAGCTCACAGCAACCTCAAACTCTTGTGCTCAAAAATATCCTCCTGCCTCAGCCTCCCACGTAGCTGGGACTATAAGCACCCATCACAACACCCAGATAATTTTTTCTATTTTTAACAATGATGGAGTCTTGCTCTTGCTCAGGCTAATCTTTAACTCCTGAGTTCAAGCAATCCACCCTCCTTGACCTCCCAAAGTACTAGGATTATAGGCATGAGCCACAGTACCTGGCTCCCTCCCACCTACTAAGCTTGAATAAATCTCAGAATCCAATGAAAAAATAACAAAAATATATTTCCATGCACAGCATTTAATGAATCAGAAATTCACAAACTTTGAGTTGTACTACTGATAAAGGTATTTTGAAATACAGCAATGAAAAAAATATAAGTAAAAATATTTACTTTTCCTTACATACTTAATGTGTAAGAGAAACTCAATATTGTTTTTATTTATAATACTCCATTAATATTGTTTTTGTTTATTATAATAAGATACTTAAAGAGATTAATACCAATGATTTAGTTTAAAAATAAACAGAAAAATAGCAGGTTCTAATTTGGTTCTGTTTCACATTTCTATTTATATCCTTATCTCTATAAATATTTATGAATATCTATACTATTCTCATTTAATAAGAGGGTATGAAAAAATGTATATACATTTTAAGAAAGGAAAAACTGTATGATCTTGTAATATTCAATGTATACCAATAACAAATGAATACAAGTCATGTTGAACACCTTTGGTAATGCAGAAATCAAACATGACTTGAGCATTACAGATTTAATACTGTTTTTTCCTTAATTTTTTGGCATTCTCCATATATTTAATAATAGAGCTGTAGATAAGTACTTAAAGCTTATTTTATTCTTTTATAAGCACAAGTCAGGCAGGAGTGGTCATGCTTGGATTCACTATGATTTCATCAGTGGCCATGAGCGTTTACTCTGGAAGGACTTGTTAAAATGGGAAAGAGGTTACCTCCCAGAGGTAAACCCAGAGTTCCAATGGGCCAACCAAGGTCTCTAATAGGGGTCCTCAAACTTTTTAGACAGTGGGCCAGTTCACTGTCCCTCAGACCGTTGGAGGGCTGGACTGCGGGCCCTGGGACAAGTTGGCTGCTAAGTAGGACAGGCAGCGGAGGCAAAAACTCCCGGCAGGCTGGGTAAATGTCCTTGGCAGGCCGTAGTTTGAGGACGCCTGGTCTGGATGAAGCTGGGGAAAACATCTACCCTGAGATGACCGCAGGTGTTGCACATCTGCAGGCCTGTTCTATTCATAAATGCCTTCCCAGTGGAGGGTCAGGATTTCCGTGTCAGGTTTCATGATTTCTAATGGCAGTACTGGGATCCACAGAGGCTGCTCTGACATTAATGACAACTAGGCCTCTCTGCTCCTTAGCCAGGGAGGCAGCTCTGGGATGGAGGGGCCTGTGTTTGCCACCCCTGTGGTTTAATAGAGAAATAAGACCTCCTTCCTGTTTGTAAGGAAAGGGGCACCTGCAGAAACATTTCAAAAGGCCAGCAGCCACATCACAGGCCTTGTGAGCTCTAGTGTGGCAGCACCATTAGTTATGAGAGAAAAACCAACTCTTACGGTAACATCTGTGAGGTATCTGGGGATCATACCAATTTTACTCAGTGTCAAAGTCTTGAACCACCACTGCTTGTGACAACAACTGGAGCCACCGGCCACAGGTAAAAAGAGAAAGCCTGGGGTCCATGTGGAGCCTGCCAGGCCTATGTGATCTGGGAATCCTGCCAGCGCTTCCCCCAACCCCCTCACTGGCCTCATGTGTCCCCTCTCCCACAGGCTCCCCGGGCTGCTGCTGCTCCAGCCACGGTTCCCTGACAGTCCTGGCACAGGTACCCCCACTCTTGGCCTTTGGCCCTAATAGCTTCTTCTCCCTCAATGTTCCCTGGTTTACTTCTTACCTCCCTCAGGTCTTGACACAAATGTCATTTTTTAGTGAGGCCTAACCCGTCCACTTCATCTGAATTGCAACCCTGCCCTCAACCACACACTCCCATCTCCTGTCACTTTTGTCCAGAGCACAGGTTACATTTCAGTGTGGGGACATCTGCTAATCTGCTGACAGCCTGCCTACTGACACCTGTCTCCTCTGGCTAAAACAGTGCTGCATGGGACCATAGACCTGTGCTGTTAGTGTGCCAGGTGGGAACACTGGCGGTGTGCCAGCCATTTTGTGGAACTGATGAAGGCAGCACTGCCCCCCAATGACTATATGAGAGAGCAAACTGGCCCTGGAAGGTGGGTGGTTAGGTGACCAACCCAGCAAGCCACTTTGTTGATACATATCCACAGGAGGATAGGGAAGACCCAGCTGATAAGCGGGGTAGCCATATGTTCTGCTTGGCCTTAGTAGAAGTGGAGGGCAGGAGGCTGTTTTCAACCTGGGTGGGACTGGAAGAATTAGGGAATAGGGACTGGAAAGAAACTGCTTGGCAGACATTCCTTAGGGGAGTGGGTGGGTCATGTTTCAGGGAGGCTCAGAACTTGCCACTGAGGAGGCTGGAGGGCGACCACGAGGGTTTTCAATGAGCACTGGGCACAGCCCTGGAAGGTGAGCCTGCACTGGTCTAAGGCAGGGGTGGGGAAGGCCAGGGCTCCCTAAAACCCAAGAGGCCAAGAGTCAGCTGTGAAGCAACGCAACGGAAGAAGAATCCAAGGGATGATAACTTAAGGAAAACCACTTACGTTTAAGGCAATGGTTCTCAACCTGTGGGTTGCGACCCCTTTGGGGATCGAATGACCTTTTCACAGGGGTCGCCTAAGACCATCCTGCATATCAGATATTTATATTACCATCCATAATAGTAGCAAAATTATAGTTATGAAGTAGCAATAGAAATAATTTGGGGGGTCACCACAACATGAGGAACTGTATTAAAAGGTCATGCGCGGCATTAGGAAGGTTGAGAACCACTAATTTAAAGTCTTCGAAATGCCCTAATGTGTGTACCTTTAACTAAAGGTTGACATAGAATATACATATTTTTAGTGGCTGTTTTTAAAGTAGACACAATCTTGTTCTGTCTCCCTGATGGGAATGTAGTATGATCATAGCTCAATGCAGCCTTGAACTCCTGGGCTCAAGTGATCCTCTGCCTCAGCTTCCAAGTGCTGGGCCTACAGGCACACATCACCATACCCGGCTAGTTTTTCTATTTTTTGTAGAGACTGGGTCTTCCTACGTTGCCCAGGCTAGTCACAAACACCTGGCCTTAGTGTTTGTGAGGCCTCAGATCTTCTTGTGTTGGCCTCCCAAAGTGCTAGGATTACAGGTGTGACCCAAATGCCCCTGGCTTTTAGTGGCATTTTTATAACATTTTCTCTAAATCTTTATGCTGTCCATAAGTATCATTTTGACATTCTGAGATCTTTTAGGGAGAAACCACTGTGTGTTTTGTTAGACTATAATCTCCCCTCGCTCACCATCAACCCCAAGAAGCCCAATAGTGGATAAGACACAGCAAAATGAAGAGCATTCTTTTGACTCTAGGCTGTAACTTAGAAAGTATTTAACATGATGAGAATGTTCTCTCATTTTATAGATGAGCCAACTGAGGCAGAAAGGGTGAGCTACCTGCCAAAAGTCGCACAGCAAGGCTATGACCTAGATCTGTAGGATCCTAGGCCTGACTCTCCACTGCCCAGGCTCTCAGCCCTGCAGCTGTGGATAGTGGTTATTCTTAGCCCCAACAATGTGGGTGTCTCCTCTGCTCTGGCAGATACAGATTTTTGCTTACATACCTCATGCTTTATCTAATCTCAAGTAACAAAATAGTAAACTGTAACCCTGAAGGAAATGTGCCCAGGGAAAACACCTCTGGTAACTCTGACTCAGTCTGCTGCCTTCCCAACAACCAGAATAATACCTCCTGACCTTGACTCAGTAGCGACCCAGGTTTACTTAAAGCAGCAGTTCTCAAATCTGAGGGTGCTTTAGGTTACTCAGAGGACTTGCTGAATATGAACACTCAGGCCCACTCCCCAGTTTCTGACTTAGCAGGTCCTGGGGTTGGACCTCAGAATGTGCATTTCTATAAGTTCCCAGAGGATGCTGATGCTGCTGGCCCTGGAATAACCTTTGATAACCACTGATTTAAAGAATCAAAAATAAAGTTGTTAGAGCTATTCAGATAAATGCTATGAGCTAAAAATTCTTGTAAAATGACTCTATCTAGAGATGTAATTATTTTGCTTAATAAGAATTTGCTACTGATATGTGCATTAGAAAAAGAATTCATTTATTTATGGGGCAGGAGCTGACATTTGTGAGGACGATGTCTGTGCTTCACATATCTTACTTTGTTACTCTAAAAGCAGTAGGAGGACACTTTAAGAACATGGGTTTTTAACTTTTACCTCATTTCCCTCACAGGGAAGGTGAAAAATTCCTGCAATATGCTGTCCTGAGATAATCTGTAATGATTCATAATTTTTTTGATAACAGCTTTACTGAGATATAAATCACAGGCTGTACAACTCTCCCACGTGCGCTGCAAAGTTCCCTGAGAGCTGAGCATCATCTGAATGCAGCATCTAAACAGCACGCCCTCCATGTATGACACTGCCCAGATGGAGACGCAGTGCTGGCCAGGTGTGGGGCTCATGCCTGCAATCCTAGCACTCTGGAAAGCTAAGGTGCTTGAGCTCAGGAGTTCGAGACCAGCCTAAGCAAAAGCAAGACCCTGTCTCTACTAAAATAGAAAAACTAGCCAGGTGTGGTGGCTGCCTGTAGTCCCAGCTACTCAGGAGGCTGAGGCAAGAGGATGGCTTCAGCCCAAGAGTTTGAGCTATAATGATGCCATGGCACTCTACTCAGGGCAATGTAGGGAGACTCTGTCTCAAAAAAAAAAAAAAAAAACAGAAAAGAAAAAGAAACACAGTACCGACTTCTAGGAAAGCAGCGGATGCTTTCTTGGCTTAACCTAACTAGGGCAGCTCTTTAGAAAATGTGTCCAAATGGGGACTAATGACATACTCGGCATTCTTCACAGGCCTCCCACTGATTTTTTAAGTCAAGAAATTATTTTATGTTACCCCAGTTATGCTACTGACCTTAACCTATGAATGAAGGGGTCAAACTCTCCCCAAATTGTCCCATTAGGAAGTGATATGAAGCACATTTCCAAGAATGGGTTATTGATGGCTAATTAGTGCCAAAGGGATCACAACTGCGTCAGGGGAACAGTGGCCTCTGAAGGCAATGTAGGTGTGCAGGCCAGAGATCCAGCCCATGTCCCATTTATTCATTCAGCCTAAGATTGCTGAGCAGGTCCACGCAGGAACTTGGGTAGAAGAGATGTTATAAGGAGATGCAGGACCATGTACAGAGGCTGGACTTGGGGCCACGACCTAGAAAGTGTACTACCAGGTTTCAGGACGAGTCCATAAACCACCTGAAATTGTGCAAAAGCATTTGGGCAGATAAAGGGCCACCACTGTCATTAGATTCTAAGAAGAGTAAGCGCCTTACACTGGTTCTGAATTTCCAGTCTGGTGGAAGAAGAACAGAAGACAGAGAAACAAGAAAATGGCATTCCAAAGTATTCAAAAGTAAGCACCAGATCAATGTGGATCAAAATGCATGAGGATGAAGCTCGCGAAGCTCAAAAGGCCCTTCTGACTGGGAGCACTGGAACCCATTCCAGGCAGCCCTCTGGCCAGAGTCAGGAAACATACCTGTCAGGATGGTGCGCCGTTTGCACTGCTCTTCTACCCCACCCTGCCTCTTCCCGGCCTGGGTAAAGGGCATCTCAAACACGAAGCGGCGGATGTTGTGTGATCTTTCAAACTCTGTTTTCCTTTCCTGCAATTCTTTTTCATCAAAGAATGGGGTCACATGAGTCACTTGGATGTATGCATACTTGGAATCCAGATCCTTAGGGTTCACCTTCAATTGAACAAAGAAAATGGAAGGTTGGTGCGATTTGCAGGAATCTCTCAAACTTTGCCTAAGCTATATTTTCTTTTCTTTTCTTTTTTTTTTTTTGAGACAGAGTCTCACTTTGCCACCCTGTGTAGAGTGTAATGGCATCATAGCTCATAGCAACCTCAACTCTTGGGCTCAAGTGGCTTTCCTGCCTCAGTCTCCTAAATAGCTGGGATTACAGGTACCTTCCACAATGCCCAGTTATTTTTTTAGAGATACGGTCTTGCTCTTGCTCAGGTTGGTCTCAAACTCCTGAGCTCAGGCAGTCCACCTGCCTCAGCCTCCCAGAGTGCTAGGATTATTGGCGTGAGCCACTGCACCCAGCCTCTAAACTATATTTTCTTTTCTAACTTTTTATTAGTAAATATGTTGGGGGGAAAAATAGTACAACCAACACCCACATACTTACAACCTGGATCAATAATTACTAATCATTCACAACACATATACACATGTGTATGTGCACACACACCCATAACAAATATACACAGAATTTTCCTTGTCGAATGGCCCTTAGTCTTGATTTCTGTTTTCTAAGCTGCAATGTTTTGGTTTAGAACTTTAGGAATTTGTTTTAGTAGTAATGTTTGAAAGCTAGGCCTCTAAATTATCATCAATCTGTAGATGTACCAGATTGATACTAACAGCTTCAAGTTAATTTAATATAGGTGCTGATTAACCTAAGATGGAATCTAATGATAAGCTTAGTTCCTACTTAACACGTAAATGCTTTTAAAAACCACACTGCTAGAATCGGTGGTGTTCTCTTTCTGTGACAGGGTAGGAAATTAAACACAGGCACTTTCCACAAAGACACAAAAGCTTATTACGGAGATAAACCAATTTTGTACATTTTAGTTGAATTTAACTTCTACAGCAATAAAAAGGGACATGGGAATAATTCACTGTTTCCATAAATATGGCGACTACATGGGCAAATTGATGTGAATAGGAATGGTTTTACTGTTCTTGGGACAGAGATGTTTGTGAAGAAAAATAAAAAAATGTGAAAGTGCCACTTTGGAAATTAAGAAAATACTTAATGTTAAAAAAAGTTATTCTTTGTGTTTCAGAAAAAGCCATCTGGCCAATCATTCTAATTGTATTCAAATCTATTTAACTTAACTTTCTTTAGCAGAAACACTGTAAAGGCAGTGGGAATGCAACCTCCTTGCCTACTCTCCAGTTCTGTTTCCCTACTCTACACTTCCCAGGCTTTAGGTGTGGAGAAGGAATGAGGACTGTCCCTGGGTGGAGGAAGAGGTCCAGTAATCCTCTGAGCTGATGCTCCATCAAGGGTCGAATGTGAAAAGGGGAAGAAGACAGATTGAGAACCTGGAGAGAAGTCTGTCAACATTTAATTCACCAATTGATCCAGACAAAAGTTTTGGTTTCAGAGAAAAAGGCAAATTTGAGCACAGTAGTTTGATTTACAAAGTAAGAAGGTCTTCCTGAGATTATGTTGAGGTCTCTGCTTATAAGTGGACTAATAGCATGTTCATCCCTGCTCCTCTGTGCAACCCTGTTAAAATGGAATTAACCTGTAAGGAAAGATAGCAGAAGACAGCAGTGGCTGAGAGACAGAGTGGAGGGTGCCTGGAGTTGCCACTTGAGTGGGCAGAGTGGAGGAAGCTCTGACTCACATCCCCGTGAAGGGGGTAACACAGGTGAGCCAGTGCAACCCTCAGAAGTATGTGAGGACTAGAATTACTGTGCACAGGACTGGGGAGATGAGTGAGGTGTGGGGCAGCAAATGGGCCCCGTGGCCCAAAGTCCCAATCTGGACTTGAGAATGCCAGGTTCCCCTCCCTAGCTCCCACCCCACAAGAGGGCAGAAGTCATTTCCTAAAGAAACTAGTCTGGAAACTAAATGAGTCCATGAGTCTTAGCAGAAAGCAGGGCCAAGGTACAGAAGGAAAGAAGGCAGGTAAGTAAGAAGCTTACCCCTCCTCAGCTGCCCACCCCCATGTAGGAGAATGGAGGATTCTTCTCTAGACAAAGTGAGAGGCCCCAAGGAAACAGATTTCCAACACTGAGGACCCAGAGGAAGGCTCAGGAAAGAAAAGGAATCAAGGTTCACTCCAAAATGATTCCCCCAGGAAGAAGCAGGGCTCATCTCCCTCTGAGAGGCTAGAAGGAGTTTTTCCTTTTGTTTTATTTTTTTTTATTAAATCATAACTGTAGACTGCATTAATGTACACAGCAATGATTTAATAAAATAAAAATAATCATAACTATATATTAATGCATTTATGGGATACAATGTGCTGATTTTATATACAATTTACAATGCTTACATCAAACTGGTTAACATACCCTTCACCTCATTTACTGAATTATTATGTTAAGACATTTATACTCTACACTTAATAGATTTGACATGTACCCTTGCAATATGTACCATAGGTGTGGTCCCACCGTTTACCCTCCCTCCACCTAACCTCCTCCTTCCCCCTCCTCTTCCCTCCTTCATCATGGGCTGTAGTTGTGTTTTATCTTTCATATGAAAGCATGGGTGATGGAGACTTTTCCTCTTTTATGTTTCCATGGATGGAGCTGGAACATATTCTTCTTAGTAAAGTATCTCAAGAATGGAAGAAAGTTTCCTTTTGTTTTAGAGATGCGATCTCACTCCAATGCCTGGCTGGAGTCCACTGTACTATCTGAGTTCACTGTATGAGGAGAATTTTTAATACAAAAACCAAGAGCCCAACCTCTGCCTGAGTTTCAGGAAGCAGAGGGATACCCAGCTCCCTGGAGATGTCATGAAGAGGGGAGGACACATAAACGTACAGGTAAAATGTATGGATTCCAAAATGGTCTTCATATACTCTAGTTTCTCTTCAAATCGCATAAATCTTTCATCTTTTACCAAAATGGTCGTCATAAGAGCAAAACCCAAGAGGACAGCCTCTCTAAATACTAAGTCAAGCTCATTCCTACAATCTTCCTAGCTGGTGAGTGTACTCCTCAGTCTGTCTGTCTGTCCACATGACCAACCATCAGTGACCCAGCCCATCAAGCTGTGTCAAGTGCAGGGGAGAAGTGTGGTAAGAAACAGAACCCGGGGAACCACTCTTTGAGAGTTTCCTTTTTTTGTGAGACCAAGTCTTAACCTGCCGCTCAAAGTCAACCATCTTTAATTTTTTCTTATTTTTTTCTGTACATGTTTATAAACACATAATATATAATCAATCACATTTAATCAATCAAAACAATATTACTATGAAACTTAGTCAAACACAGTCATACCTTGCCAGAATCTTGTATCATTTTGACATTTTCAGAACCAAATTTATCTGAGTAAAGTTTAAGGAGTCTCTGAGAAATTTCTGATAGAGGTGTGAGTTTGGGTTCTTTGTAAATATACTCCTTTCCATCTTCATCTTCAAAGAATCCCTGTGACATAAAAGAACAATTAAGAGTTCTCCCCGAATATAAACCCAAGGCTTACCACCTGGAAGGGTTCTTTTGTTAAAAGGGTTAAAAAAAGATGATTCTAAAATAAAATCTTACTTAACAAGTTTTCTGGATAAAAAGGATAAGGATAATAATGGGAAGTCCAGGTACAAAGATAAAGGAAAAACGCAAAACTGCAAACTTATTTAAGAATGCTGTCATTAAGTGCTGAGTGAAATGAAAGATTTTGGATTCAAGATTGCGTCATCTCAGTGAAGGCTAACCATGAAGTCAAGCCTGTTTCACGTTCCCAAGAAGCAGAACTCGCTAAAACACCTCAGTAGCCTGTGGCAGTGAGGCCTCAGAGACACACAAACATCCCTTCTCCTGTCTGCTCCTATTTACATGAGATTTCATGGCACGAACTGATGCATTCGGGCCTGGAGCACGTTTAGTTCAAGTTACATGAAGTTTGTGTAACTCCTGTTTTGCTTTACTGATGAGGAAAAATACTAAAGGCCTGTAGCACAATACCAGAAAATACTTAACATCATCAACAATCATCATCTACTTTAGCACCAATTACGTTTGACTAGAAGGCTTAGAATTGCATGGGAAGTGAAAAAGGTTGAAAATGAAAAGTCCAGGCTGGGGTTAATATTTTAAATAAATTTGAAAAAAAGTTTCTCATCTAAAATAAAAAAGAGAAAATGGTGGGAAAAAAAAAAAACCCAGCATACATTTAGAAAAATGCAGGCTAACATAAAACAAAAAACACCCACATCAAACTGGGAGTTTAATGCAGTCATTTCACTACATTACTTGCTTTTTAGGCATTTACTATATTTACCTCCACATCTGTTTCACTGTCTGTAAACTGGTATTGCTATAAAGTTATAAAAGACAATAACAGAACAAATTGAAGGTTATATAATTCTCATAGAAAACTACACAGCCTAAACAAATAAATTATAATCTATAACATTTAATAATGTTAGAGATTTGAAGGTTAAGTTAAATTTAAATGAACTCTTTCACACAGGGTTTCTGAAATATTATAATAGCAAATATACTTGTGGAGATACTATATTACAAAAGCTAAAGATGCACAGGCACAAATGAAACCAGAAAGTCTTAATTGTGGTTTAAAACATGCAGTATAGATGCATAATTAAATAGGTGATTTATTTCTGTAAATGGAATAAAATGTTAATTTTATTTTGGAGGGAAGTTTGTGATGACTGGACGGATGTACAGGCAGACTGGAAAAGGAAACTGGCAAACCACACTGAAGTACCAAAGATGCCACTAAGAATGCTTATGGAGGAAGAACTTACCGCTGCCTTAAGAAAGTAATAAAGAAAAGACAGGAAGAAAGAAAAAAAGCAGAGAGTTTACTACAGAGGAAGATAAGGATCATAGTAAATATGACAAATTCATCTAATTAGCATTTATAGAAAACAGAGAATTTATAAGATATAACTTTATTATAGAGTTAAAAAAAATAAAAGGACTTAGGACAACCTGCACCATGGACAGGAGGCTCACCTGTCCAAAGAAGGCCACCCGGAAGTAGGTCCCCAGGAGCCTGCGGCCCGAGTGCATGACCTCGGTCACTTTGCTGTAGGCCCGGTGCAGCGTGTCATACAAATGGGCCAGCCTCTGGAAAACACAACAAAATCCATTTCTTCCCACTTGAAAGTAGTGTAATCATTTTAAAGTAATAATTTTATGTGGTAATGGAAGAGAAAATTCCTTGAACTTAAGTAAAAAACTAATTAAGAATACATTTTGACTGCACAACTTATAGTGACCAAAGAGCCAACTTGCATATGAAGGCCCATCGAGTCTCCACATATGGCAAGAAATTCTATTTTCAGGTTAACATGAGGAGTCAGATGGTTCTCTGACGCCATTTTTATTAGTTTTTGCTCTTCCTAGTCTGTTGGGAATGCTAAGAGAACCTGGAGACTCTCCAAGCCCAGGAAGGACAAAGCCACACCTTTCCCCATGCAGGGGAAGTAAGGGAGAGTCCTGAGGAAAACGGCCCCCAGTGACCACAAAACTCAGTTCACACAGGCTTTCAAAAGTTGGGTGTCAGGGGTATAGTTTGATATGAGGGTGTCTGCACAGAAGTGGGGTCCAGGGATGTGCGATGCCTGATGACTCTTGGGAGGTGGTGACTGGTAACCACCTTCAGCATAACGTGAAGGGTTAGAGTCCAGGAGTTCATCACCAACTCATGGCCTGCTGGCTCTTTGCAGATGAGCAGGCTTAGGGGTATGTCATATCTTGTGCTCTCCAATAGGAAAAACAGAATGCTACTGTGATACCTCGAAATCCCTCCGCTTCTCATAAATGGGGATGATGAGCTTATAGATGTCAGCAATCAGCTCGTAGCGCTCGGCTTTCCAGAGTCCATCTGCACACTGCTCGAGGAGCTCCATCAGCACGTCCTGAGCAAAAAGCAAGGCCAGAGAAATGTGTGACAGGGAACACAGAGAGGGAATCCTTGCATAATATGTAAGCCTGCTAGGACAGATATTTCAAAGTACACAGTAGTTTCAAACACTAACTTCCTGCTTGTAACAACTCATCACCACATTTTTTTCAAGAAGCCATTTTTTCAATCATGGTTCTAAACAAAAATGGAAAAGGATCATATTGCACAACTGTAATAGACATTCACATGGAAAAACTGACACTTCATGTGGGCTCTCCAATTTTAGATCTCTTTTAATAAATATAATCTGGAAATTTTTGTCCTTTTGAAGAACAATGACAGTGACAAAACAGGGAGGGTCACTAAGCGTGACTTCACTCCAAGTTAGACACATCTAGGGATGGAGTGTGGTGGGCACTCTGCCTGCTTCACCAATATCTTGAAGTTTGGATAGTTAACTCTGCCTCCTCTAAAGCCCTGGAACTTTGGAGCTACCCATAGCTTAAGAATTGGGGCATGTGGCTTGGATTTATACTAACCAGCCCAAACCTATTTCCTGGCCATAGTCTTTGCATGACCATGGGTGGACATGTGACCTAAGCAGTCAGTTGGGGTGAATATTAGGACGCTAGCTTGGAAGGCTGGGACAGAAATGCTCCCACCAGGCTGGAGCAGCTGGGGCTGACATTCATCCCAAGGCCAGAGAAGCAGCCAGTCTTCCCTAGTAACAGAGTGAAGGGCCCCCTTGTTGCACGGTGAAGTATCTCAATCTCTTTCTGGAATTTCCTGATGTGATCTAATACCTGACCTTTATTGTTTAAGTTCATTTAAGTGGGTTTTGTTTATGACGTGAGTAAATTTTCATGTGTTGTCAACCATAGTTTTGGTAAACTGTTTAAACCTTTTGCTCATTTTCTACTGGGTTATTTTCTTATTGAATTCTATGAATTCTCTAAACATTGTGGATAAAAGTCCTTTACTAGATAGGTGATTTGTAATTGTTCCTCCCAATCTGTAGCTTATCTCTGGATTTAATGATATCTTTTGAAGAGCATAAGTTTTTGATTTTGATTTAGTCCAATTTATCAAGATTTTGTTTTCTGGATTGTGCTTTTTATGTTACAACTAAGAAATCTTTATCTAACCCAAGTTCACAATGACTTTCTCCTATGTTTTCCTCTAAAAGTTTCATCATTTTGGGTTATTTTTGAATAAGGTATGAAGGTTCTTTTTTTTTTTTTTTGCATATGTATATCCAGTTGTCTCAGCACTACTTGATGAAAGACTATCCTTCTCCACTGAATAGCTTTTGAACCACTGTAAAAAATCAGCTGACCATACGTGTGTGGACTCTGCATTCTGTTCCACTGATACATGTGTCTGTCCTTGTGCCAACACCACAAGGATATTTTTGATGCTATGGTAAATAGTACTATTTTTTCATTCTGATGATCTTTTTTTTCAAGGCAAGTACTTTGTTTGAATAAGATTAAATGTCATCTAGCACATTTGCTTCTAGGAATTGTATGAAACAATCATTAACTATATAATGAAACCATGATATCTTTAAATGAAACTATCTTATATCCTGTGATCTTGCTGAACTGAATTATCTGTTTTAGTAGCTTCTTTTGTAAATTCTTTGTTTTTTCCCTGTCACATAAAATAACTATGTCATGTGTAAATACAGAAAGCGTTATTTCTTTTTCTTGCCTTACTGAGTTGGCAAAAGCCCCCAGCATGATGTTGAACAGAGTGACGTAAGCAGATGTTTTTATCTTGGTCTTAATTTTAGGGGAAAGCATTCAGTCTTTCACTACTGAGTATGAGGCTTAGCTGGAGTTTCTTGGAGACAGTTTTTTATTTTTCAGGTTAAGGAAGTTCTTTTCCACTTTAGTTTAGTTTTTTTAAATCATGAACGGCTATTTAACTTTGTCAAATGCTTTTCTGAATCTTCTGTTAGGAACATATGGTTTTTCCTATTTATTCTGTTGATGTAGTGAATTCCTTATGTTTTCAAATGCTGACCCCACAACATTTGAAACTAACTGTATTTTTAGAATAAATCCCTACTTGGTTATTTTTCTTTTTTATGTATTGCTAGATTCAATTTGCTAATATTTTGTTAAGGGTTTTTTTAGCTGCTTTTTAAACAAGTTTGTATCCTCTATAATGCTGTAAATGAAGAGCAAACCCCTGTGTTTTTCATTACTGGCCTAATGTTTCACTGCAGGCCTAAGTTTATAGATGCCAAGAAAAGAAACATTTTTTAAAAGCATTTATAAGTCAATTTACCAGGAAACACTACCTAAGCAAGACCATTTAACTCCTATGTCACATTTACAGCATACAAACCATAAAACTGCCCTTGGTGTGCCAGTGCTTTTTATAAAAGGTACAGCAGCTTTTTCATGTTTTTATTGCAGGTCTCATTAGGTACAAACACTAAAGCCAGACAGACACAGTAACTACCATAACGGCCACAGACAAAGAAGAAACAGAAAGGTTCTAACGCCATCTCTTTTCCTTTGCACTTGTATTATAAAGATGTACACATTTTCTTAGTGTCACTTCAAACATTTTCCAACATATAATTTATCCACACTGAGCATGAAAAAAATTTATGATGCTTTTCATGCTCCTCTGATTTTTATAAAAAGCTAAAGAATGAAACTTGTGCAATGCCTGCATCAATGTATTTTTTCAATTTGTAAAAATGGGGAAAGTATCATAGGTGGAACCTAAATTGGCATCTGTGAACATCAAATAAAACTTTACCCATCAAAATGCTCTGAAAACCAAACTCTATGTGGTAATGCACAGGCCAGCTAAATAAACCTCTCTTACTACAATTACCACTTTCTACTTTGTATTCATAAAGAAAAAAATCTTACTTCTACTGTGCTACATAATATCTGATAGTGGCATCTGGCCAGTGGGGAGACAGATCCATGGGGAGATGATAAAAGACGGCGGTTAGAGCACTGACAATGACTGTGAAAGGACCAGGCATGCTGAGAGGAGCAGCACACACCCAGCAATGAAGGGAAGGGCAGTGTGGAAAGTGGGGGAAAGTGGTGACTGCTCTGAACAGAGGATCAGGAGCTAGTGAGGTGAAGCTGAAGGTGGGAGTAGGAGCAGGACAGCAGGGGAGACAGGTGGTAGAAGCAGCCTGGGCAAAGGCAGAGCACGAAGGACTCACAGTAGTTGGAAGGGCTGGAACATAAAAGCCAGATCAGTGCAAGGCAAGAAGAGGCGGGAAGAGTAAATATACACTGAACTGGCAAACTTAGAGCTTCTTGAATTAATACATTAATGATTAAATGTAGGTAATTTTATAAGGCATGAAAATGCATGTGGCCATACCTCAACTACCACAATGCCAATGAAGCATTATACAAGGAAGATGTTATTAATGATTTTCAGATGATGGTCTGTTTGTTCAAGTACAAACAGGAGGTATCTGTGTACAGTAGCCTTTTAGGTTTAGCTCTAGGTTTAGTCCATAAATATATATCAAATAAAATTCATGTATACTATCCTCCATCATATTTTTTAAAAATAACAATATAAATGCAATTTTTTACTTCAGAAGGTTCTTACTTGTTAGAGTTGACTTGGCGCTATTTTTATTCTTGTTAAGTCAAATTAGAAACAGGTATAAAATTTTAATGACAATGAAATCTAAATTCAAGTGGCATATGAATCCTGACATATGATATAAGAGATATATGCATAAGATAATTGAGTTTCTTGTGGGCAAACCTATTGTATTTGGTACAAAAATGATGCACATTGGCGGCGCCCATAGCTCAGTGGGTAGGGCACCAGCAACACTGAGGCTGGAGGGTTTGAGCCTGGCCTGGGCCAGTTAAACAATAATGACACCTGCAACCAAAAAACAGCTGGGCATTGTGGCAGGTGCCTGTAGTCCCAACTACCTGGGAGGCTGAGGCAAGAGAGTTGCTTAACCCTAAGAGTTTGAAGTTGCTGTGAGCTGTAACACCACGGCACTCTACCGAGGGCAACACACTCAGAGTCTGTCTCAAGAAAAAAAAAA